TAGACCCACTCAGGGAAATGCTGATTCAGGAACACGGCGAGGTAAATAGTAATATCCATGGGCTGGTAGCGACTCTGCGGGTACTTCTGCGTGAGGGCGTCAGTCATTGCAGTCAGCACCTCACTCACGTCCGGGTTCTGGCAGGGGAAGGAGCATAAGTTGTAGTGCAGTATATCAAAGTTAGAAGAAACTTTACGTTGCAAACAATGTACAAATGAGGGACGGACTTTACAGCTGTCCAAATGACTTGTAGGGATGCAGCACAACTACAATAAAGCGCTCACAAGACTATACTCACTGATTGCATACCATTATATACCAGTTACATCATTAAATATATCGGCCAAACTTAACCGAGAGTGGTTGGTGTTGTCATACTTACCCCGGAACGTGTGATATTCAGCTGAAAGTTAATGGTTTCATCGAAGAAATCTTTACCATAGGCAGTCTTGACCTCTTCGTCCATGGCTGCCCACATGGCCTTCCCGTCACGCCTCACGTCACTCTCGCGGAAGATGCCCGTTCCTGTGGTGGTGGAGGAAAGTACTGAGCAATGTTACTTCTGGTGGTGATGGAGGGGAGTAGTGAGGGAGGTATTGGTGGTGATGGAGGGGAGGAGTGAGGGAGATATTGATAGTGATAGAGGGGGAGTAGTGAGGGAGATATTGGTAGTAAGAAAGAAAGAGAGAAAAAAAATAATGCAGAGATTGCAATAACGAAATTAGACATATGAAATAACGAAGTGTATACTGTATATAAAGGCAAATGGTACGATAAAAATAAATAATTAAAATCAATATATGGATCACCTGAAGATTTAACACCCTAGATTATTTCACCTGAATTATCACCCTAACGCTAACTTAACCCTTATGTGACATTAGGGTGTTTAATCTTGAGGTGATGCCAGATGCTTACCCGCTGTGAAGTTGCCAGGTTCAATGAGGCAAACGTCAATACCAAATCGTCTCATCTCGTTTCTGTGGAAGAAATGATTGACAAAGGTTATGAAATTGACAGACGTGAACAATATGCAGACTGTCGGTTTATTGTTCACGTCTGTCAATTTCATAACCTTTGTCAATCATTTCTGTTAGCATGAACGAACAGTTATCTTAGAATGTCATTCGATATGTGTTCTGTCATTCGGTTATGAAATATGTCAAATAGGTATATAACAATGTCTCAACGTATATGTGAAAAGGTTTACTGTGAACTTTAACCCATATATTCAGTTTTATTCAGTAATATCGTCATAGAAGTTTACACTGAAGTTAATTATCATTATTATGACAAGACATTCTAACTAAAGAGACATTTTTTTTTACTAAATATTTTTTTTATTAATTTGAATTTCCAAGTTATTAATATTAAATTGATTCTGTTATTATAGTGGTTTCGGTAAAAATAGTTTCGGTTTTGTTGTCCACTAAGACACTCACCTGAGTCCGTCATTGAAGCCCTCGAGGGCGTGCTTGTTGAGGTCATAGGTGGTGCCTATAGGGATGTGGAGGCGGCCCCGCGCGCTGCCCATGGACACAATTCGACCTGTAGTCATTCATGTTATTTAAGTCAAATGTATTCGGAAATATTATATATTTTGCACAAAAGAAAAAATAAATCCTTTGTAACCAGAACAGACAGAAATATTAAAACCTATACTTCCTTGGGTGTGTGACAGTGTGTGTGTGTGTGGCGGCCTGCTTACCCTTCGCCTTCCTGATGAGAGGAAGGAAGGTCTTGGTGACGGCGATGGTCCCGAAGATGTTGACGTCACTAATCTTACGACAAGTTTCCATGGTCACCCACTCGACAGCCCCGTGTGTGCAGATAGCGGCGTTGTTCACCAATCCCCACAGCACCTCTATCAACATCACAGGGATTACTTCTCCTCTGCCCCTTATACAATGGCGATGGTATTTTTTATTTTATTTTTTTTGTTAGGTTAAGGTGGGGAAAGGATGGAAGGCATGCTGGGGCTCAAGGCACAGCCAGACATGAGGGAATTGAGGGATGGAGAAGTCACAACATATAGTCGTGGGAGGAAAGGTTGGAAAAGAAGTTTAAGAATTAAACAGAGGGGGACGACACCCCTTGTTTTACATATTACAGAGTTTGTTGGCTAACTAAGCTAACCTAGGATTTAGAATGAGGTTGCACAATGGTTATTTTAGAAGACAATGACTAGATTGATTTTACATTTACAAGTTTATTAACATCTTATACTGTATTACGTTATGGACTCACTTGATTGTGACTTGTTAAATGTGAATTTATATCATCTAAGTTTTAATCTAAGATGGATCACCGTGGCGGACATAGATGGGTCGCGGGTTGGGTTGTTGTAGTGCGGGCAGACTCCGGGGCCACCAGGCGTGGGGTCTCCCTCCGTTGATGTCTTCCCCGCGTAGGTGGTCTGGGCTGTGAGGTCGTCCAGGAGCTTGTCCCAAACCTTCTTCCCTAGGCGATGAAACCTGAAGTTGAGGGCCTCTGTTTTATTTCTTAGGTGGATGGTTCCACTGTCTCCTGGTAGGGTGGCGCTTGGCCACTGGCTGACCTTAAACACTTGTTTTGGAAGCTCTGTAGTTGTTGTACTCTAGTCTTCCCGAGTGTGACGAGTGGTATAGATGGGTACTCCAACACAGGCCTCACCAGCGCCTTGTACAGGTGAACTTGTATCTTCTCAGGCATCAATTTAAAACTTTTTAATTTGGCTGCGGCGACTTTGGCTTTATTTAGTCTGTCCTTCACGTGGGGAATGATGCCCGTCCGAGAAATGATGAGGCCGAGCAACCTGCCTTGTTTAGAGTACTCAATCTCTTCGTCGTCGATCATCAATGGGGCCGGTTTGAATTTCGCAATGGGTATGACCTCAAATTTCGTTTTGTTTGTTTTTATTTTCCATTTGTTTTCATACTCCGAGATCTCCTCTATTGCCCGAGCAGTGAGTCGCGCCATCCTTGCTGTGGACCTTCCTGGGCAGGTGACGATCTGTGTTACATCGTCGGCATACATGACGTACTCGCTGCCGACGATTGGGGTAGGCAGGTCAGCCGTGTAGAGTGTGTAAAGGGTTGGTGAGAGACAAGAGCCCTGAGGCACGCCGCTCGATAGTGAGAATTCTTCTCCAAAATGTTCTTGCATCTTGATTTTGGCTCTGCGGTCCATAATGAAGTTACACAGCAGGCGCGTCAGATTTTCGGGTAGCCCCAGTTGTATGATCTTATATTGCAGCCCTGCGTGCCAAACTTTGTCAAACGCTTTGCTGACGTCCTTCAGTACTATATTGCACTGCAGGCGGCCAGTCATGGCACTGGCGATCTGCTCGTAGGCCTGAGCTATGGCGGTGGATGTGCCTTTGTACTGGCGGAAGCCGAACTGGCGGGGATTATGCACGTCTTCGTCCTCCAGATACATCCGCAATCGCTTGTTGACTATTTTTTCGAAGATTTTGGCAGATACCTCTAGCAGCGATATTGGTCGAAAGTTTTCGACTTTGTTTGGAGGCTTCCTGCAACTGACCTAAAATGTCCTCCTCAAACTCCCTGTCGAAGCCCTCGTTCTCCTGTTCACTAATGGTAAAGATCTTTCGTAAATATCGCCGATGTAGTTGTTCTTGGTTTTCTTCCTCGAATATTTTTACGTTGTTTTGGTCGAGCAGGTAAGGGACCGTGCTAGAGGTGGAACCCATCAGTCGCTTGATCCCTTTCCAGAATCAGCAGAATCGCGGTAATTGTTGGCTGCCTCCCACACCAAGGCGGCCCACTTTTGTTCATGTAGACGTTTGCTCTCGTGCTGGATGTCCGTCTGTAGCTCTCGGTACCGGTCTCTCAGCTCCTGCGTCCACCCGCGGATACTGGCTAGCTGTCTCACGTGAGCGTACTGGACACTGAGCTGCCTCAGCTGGTGACTAGTGTGAGGATGGGGAATGGTCCTGTAACTGGTGGTCGGGATGTTGTTGTCCATCTCCGTCTTCACATCCTTATACCATTGTTCGACCGCGTCGTCGATGTCATTGGGGCTGGCTTCTTCCAGTAATTTGCCTACTATTGATGTTAGACTGATTGGGCGGTAGTTAGAGGATAGTGATCTATCCCCCTTCTTGAAAATCGGTATTACATTCGCTATCCTCCAGGATTCTGGTACTACACCTGTTTTTAAGGGCATGTTAAACAACTTTGCTAAGGGCATACTAAGCTCTTCCTTACATTCCTTTAATACTCTGGCAAATATCTCATCGGGACCAGGTGACTTATTAGGCTTTAGTTTGTCTATTTGCTTACTAACATCGTTACTAGTCACTACTATCTCGCTTAATTTGTTTTCTTCACTATCTCTGAATAGAGTCGGTGCCTCGGGTATCATGTTTAAATTTTCGGTGGTGAAAACTGTTGAAAAATATTTATTCAAATTATTGCTCATTTCTCTGTCGTTATCAGTGAGCTCGCCGGTGTCTGACCGTATTGGTCCAATCTTTTCTCGTGTTTTAGTTTGATACATTTGGTAGAATCATTTGGGGTTTGTCTTCGCCTCCTTTGCTATCCTTACCTCATTATTCCTCTTTGCTTTCCTTATCTCGGTTTTAACCTTACTCGCCAATACCCTATGATAGTCCCGGAGGTGAATTTCGCCACGATTTATCCTTCTACCTATAGCCTTCCTTTGGCCAATGATGTTCCTTAAATAGTTATTAATCCATTTAGGGTCATTGTTGTCTGATCTGAGTTTTTTGTATGGTATGTTCTGCCTTTGTGCATTAAGTAACTCACTATTTAAATTGTCGTGGAACTCGGCAATCTCAGATCTCGTTATCAGGTCGGTGTCATCTGACAGGTTCACGGCCAAGCGCGACACCCCCTCTCTCAGCTGCCTCTTCAAACTGTCAAAGTTCGCCCTTCTGAAATCTGGTACTTTAGTGGAATTTTCCTTACGTCTGCCCTGAAAGTCTAACTGGAATCTAATTTCTTTGTGATCGCTGTTTGCAAATTCGTTCCCTACCTCGACCCTGCTAATGAGGTTTTCTCTGTTTGACAGAACTAAATCGAGTATATTATTACCCCGTGTGGGTTCAGTTATATGTTGACTTAGAAAACAGTCCTGGATAGTCTTGAGAAAATCCTCTGATTCTGAGTTACCTGTAAGGTCAGTCCAATCTATTTGGCCAAGGTTAAAGTCGCCTACTATGCAGACTTTGTTGTGTATGGAAGCCCTGCGCATTTCATCCCAGATAAGTCGCTCTTTGACTCTATCAAGATTGGGAGGTCTATGTATTACTCCTGTGATTAATTTTTCTCTACCGTCGATTAATTCTATCCAAATTGTTTCTGTATTCCGCTCAGTTTTTATTTCCTTATTTATTTCACACTTCAGATTATCCCTAACATAGATTGGTACTCCGCCTCCTTTCCTGGTCTGCCTATCGGTATGGAACAGTTTGTAACCCGCAATTTGGTATTCGACTGGTAACTCACGTGTGTCTAGGTTGATCCATGTTTCAGTGAATGCAATTATATCGATTTTTTCGGTACATACCAAGGCCCTAATATCATCCATTTTGTTTCTCATACTTCTACTGTTTGCGTAGTATACATTTAAGTTAGTCGTGTTCTGAGTCCTCCCCTTACCGCGTTTAGTTTTAAACTCCCTGTCTAATTCAGTTTTGTCATCATTCCTAACACTATTTCCCTGTAATCTTTCACTTTGTTTACCCGCTCCCACTGCAGTCTCCTCCACCCCCGTGCTCATATGTTCTCCTAGCAGTTTAAAGACTTCGATATCTTTTGAACTGCCCCCTCTAGAGCCCCAGCCAGGGTTGCTACTCCATCCCTAGACAGGTGCACCCCATCCCTAGCATAAAGGTCCCTTCTGCCATAGAAGTTGTCCCAGTTGTCAATGAATGGGACTGATATTGACTTGCAATATCTGTCAAGACGGTCGTTGACACCAACCCCCCTTGACAACCATTCACTGCCAACTCTCCTTCTAGGCAGGACACCGCATATGATAGGGATCCCTCCCTTAGTCCTAATACGATCTATAGCTGTCTTGAAGTTATCAAGAAGCTCCTCACTCCTACACCGACCAATGTCATTGCCTCCTGCACTGAGGCAGATAATGGGTTTGTTCCCATTACCAGACAAGATATTGTCCATCCTGTCAATTATATCCCCCACCCCAGCTCCTGGCAAACACACCCTCATCCTATTTTTGTTTTTACCACAAAAGGCCCTGTCCATGTACCTTACCTGTGAGTCACCAACAATTAAAGTTTTTATACCTTCCTTGTCATCCCTGTCCCTGACTGTACTAACGTCCAATTCGTCTATCAAGGGACTGAACGAGTTGGTACACTTAGCTGTTGTTGTCGTTGTTGACGTATCCTTGGTGTACTTCTTCACCACCAGCTTGGTCCTCCCATTACTCACAACTTTCCACTCGCTTGAGTTTTCGTCAGACACTGGCTTTACTCGTCCAGCCTCCCCTTTTAACTTCGCCAGCTCTTCTTTTAATTTCAGGTTCTCCAATGTGGCCCTCTCAATTTCTTCATTGGCCTTGGCCAATTTTTCCATGGACTACTCCAGTTTGGTCAACAAACTCTCATACCCAAGACCGCACATAGCACTATGCTATGTGAAGTAAAAAGGCAGAAGACATGTATTGAAGAAAGAAGACAGAAGATGTGCTGCGCTGACATAAGAAGAAAGACGACGATGAAGAGGTGACCAACCCACTACAGCTGCTGTACTGCAGGCATCCCCTATTTTTCAGATACCAGCTGCATGGAAGACGTGAGCTATGCCGGACCCAACTAATGTACTGATGTTGTTGATGTTGTCGATGTGTAATACCCTAATATGTGAAGTAGGAACATTTTTTTGTGCATTTTGAAATATTTTCTCTGATTTTTGTTGATGT